TTTGCTGGTTTGGTCTTCTGGTCTGGTCTGATCTGGTAAACGTCTGGTCTCTGTGTATTTTATAACTACGGAAGTCCGGTCTGGTCTGATCTGGTCTAGTTTGGTCTGGTCTGGGACTGAAAACACTCCAAAAGAAAACATCCTAATTATGTAATAGTAGACTAGTAAAATAGCCATCCTCTCTGTTTTTATTTTTCATGGTTTCAATATATCTATATTTTAATAGACTAATATTAAATTAGGAATAATTTGTATTTTTGGAAACTCTTATTATAACAAATATATGAGCATATTGTCAGGTGTGATCGACATATTCAATATATCCTCATATTGTTGTAAAATCATTAACTATTATATGAGCATCCAAGTACTTTTAGAACAAATCAATTTCTTAAAAAATATTTCCTTCGTCTCTTAAAATTTTGTCAAGGGTGATCGGCATAGATAATAAAATAAAAACTGTGTTTTTCATGTTTGTATAGAAGATGGAGCTAGATAAAAGAAGAACCACAAACTCATTCAAACAATTTAGACGTTTGCAATATTATTTTATGCCTAAAACGTATGTTGGTGAATTGATTGTTTTTTGTTTTATTAGGTTCGGTTTCTGGCGGAAGGGTATTTTATATGGACAATTTTATCAATTACACGATCATGTCTGTGATTGAATACAATCAAAACATTGAAAACAGACACAATCAAAAGTTATGGAACTATATCTATAGTTTTCTTTATAGTTACTTGACCATCACTAAAAGATATGGAGAAACACAAGAGTACATTTTTTATAGTGCATGTGTGTGAGTAATAACTTTTAGTGAAAATTACCCCAAGGAGGTCAATGGTAATTTTCCCTTTTAGAAAGAAATGTGTACTCAATAGCATTTGACTTTATCGGGGCCGGTCCTAGAAAAATGGAGGTCCTGTGCGAGAGAAAAAAATTAGGCCTTTTTTTTCTATAAAATTAGAACCACTATCTATCAAGATGATAAAATGAAAAATATTAAAAAACTACTCCGTGTTACAAATTTATGTCAAAATATCAGTTACTACTTATATTAACTAACAATTACAAACCCAAAACACAAAATTTATTTATTTATAAATAAAATATAATAGTGAAACAATTACAAATTTAACAACCTAATTGCCCAATAATATAAATTGTTAAAATCAATTACAGAATTAACATCTGAAGATCTAATTGATGTTGCGCAGTGAACTGTAATTGTTAAAGGCAGGAGGGAGCTTGTGGCTAAGCGTTTCATTCGTTGTCCTTTTATATTGGCACTTGGCAGAACTTGGCCAGGGCCGGCCCTGGACTTTATTATACTCAAATTTTAACCACAAATTTTACTTTTTTAATCGTTTTATTAATAAATACTACGTATGTCAAACCAAAATAAGACACATGCTTTTTATACTAGTTTTCAAAGAAAAAAATACAACTACAATAGATTATTTTAACCTAGGTCTTAAATGCTGCACTCATTTATACTCGAGGGTATAATGAGTGCAGCATTTAAGACCATTAACATCATTCTATATTAAGTATTAACTAGTTTACTAAATTGACTATTTTACTAAATTAACTGTTTTTGTCTATTGAAGATAAGTTTTATATTGAAGACCATTAACATCGTTTTATTAACTAGTTTACTAAATTAACTATTTTTAATTAACTATTTTTGTCTATTGAAGATAAGTTAGTTTCACAAATATAACACTTTATTTTTATAGAATGATTATCTTAAGTATTAAATTAAAGCAAGAGCTGATCTACTACGTATTATTTATTTGTTCAGATCAAGAAATTAATAACATTGGTGCCCAAGAAGAAAAAACTCAAGTAAACTATATATTTTAGGCTTTTTCTCCTTTTACAACTCCTATCAAGTATTGTGTAAAACCATACATTTATTATGAAAAGAGTGTTCATCAAATTAAAGTGTGAAAATTTTATGAAAAATATTAAATATATAATAGAAATTTTCTAAGTTTAAAGGGAGGTTGTCCCCTGCACCCCATCCTTGTTTGTGAAATTGAAATTAATAAAGATACTCGTTATATGTGTACTATTTCCCCTTATTTTTCTTAAATACGTACTCTGTTTGCCCCTTATAACTTTATATTATAATCTTTCGTTTTAGATGTTTCAAAACTTTATCATTTTTCATTTCAATCATGAATTTGTGGTTCTTATTATTGCTCATTCGCAGAAATCTTAATAACACAATTTTTACTTCATTATTTATCATGCCAGCATGACAAATTTTTAAGGAAGGGGCTGTGTGGACTGTGGAAGATCTGTCTTGCGATTATTGCAAGAGGGCCGGCTACTGATCATTTGCTATCGAAGTGATTAAAACATTACACAAATAGCGATGTTGCAATTGAAGTTTATAAAATGTTTTTAATGACAAAGCATACACAATTAACGGTAAGAACATGCATGTCGATTCCATATATAAGGATGTTTTTACTTGGACTGTAATTTGCCCCAGACCAGACCAGACCAGACCAGACCAGACCAGTTCAGACCAGACCAGACCAGACTTGGATAGTTATAAAAATACAAAGAAACCAGACCTTACCAGACCAGACCAGACCAGTTCAGACCAGACCAGATCAGACCAGACCAGACCAGCAAATTACAGTCCAAGTAAAAACATCCTAAGGCTGTATTCACCGTTCACATGCGGTTCAATATCAAATTTTGAGCAAGAGTTTGATTTATTCAGTAATAAAAAAATACTACTCCCTCCGTCCCTAATAACTTTGCCAAGTTTGACCGGCACGGGGATTAATAAAGTAAAAACTGTGTGGTTGAGGTTTGTGCAGAGGAGAGAGAATTAACTGGAACCACAAATTCTTTACTTAAATGGGAAAGTGGCAAAGTTAATGGGACATCCAAAAAAGGAAAGTTGGCAAAGTTATAAGGGACGGAGGGAGTATAAAGTTTAGGATGTCTACACTTGTTTGCATTTCAAATCAGGTCAAATCAAACAAAAATACACTTAAACAAATCAATGAAATCATACATGCAAGAAGTGAAGAGCATCAGATCATAAATTACCAATGAAAACATCATTAGTCTGCTATTGGGTACGTGTATAGATTGGACGATAGTTCAATTTCAACGTATAAATATAGCGTAGAGCATGTTACATGTAGGTTATTTTATTTGACAATATTTTTAATAAATCTTAGTTGAATTACAAAGGAACGTAAAAACATGTTTGAGAATGTCATAATTCTTTCTTTGTTTGCTTTGAGCCTTTGAATGTTCTTAGTTTGCTAAACTTTTGTAGAACGCCCCAATAAAATTAGATGTATGATGTATCTATTATAGGTACTTTATTGTTTAATTCTGATCAGATCTAGTCATATTTGATTTGGTCCAGAGTTAAAACCAGTCCAACAAAAAGCATCCTAATGTTTGCACTAAAAGTTGTCGTCGTTCTATACATTTGCCCCCAACCAAAAACTAAATATGCCCCCAATAAATCTTGGCCGGCTCTACCAGTAATTAAAACTATTTTCTGTTATTCATTTTAGGCTTATATGGAAGAGAACAAATATCAAATTAAATGAAGTAAGAACAGATGGAAGGCTAATGAATAGCCAGATTCAAAAGGGAAACTGGACGAGTGTAACTCTGTAAGGTGCAGTGTGAATTATAGTGCCAGTAGTATAACTTATCTTTATTTATAAAAATGTTAGGAAGCCAACATATTAATTATAACTATATGACGCGACGTAAATAAATCTTTTATCCTATTCTAAATTAAACTATACATAATAACACAATTTACACTATACGTTAGAATACTATTTATAGTCTTCAAAACCATAATTGCATTACCTAACTACTGGTTATTTTATAGAGCTAATAAAATATTTAAGATTCATAAATTGTGAGATAGTTATAAAGACATTAATTTTTCATTTTTTATCAGTCTTAATGAATAGATTGTTGAATAAAACACTTTTATTGCCACTGCCAGTTCAAGTTTAAATATGTATTATGGACTTGTAGAACTTCAATGCCTTGACAAGTGAATTTTGATGACTACTTTGAGTAATAGAATCGATAACTAATGTTTTTTTTTAGTTACGGTCTTGTTTGTTTATAGAAGGGGATTTATTTCATAGTCACAATTCACAATTGAAACTGTAATAGACCACTTTCAAAAGATGAAAACCCGAGGAAAACACTTATGATCAACTTTAGTATGAGATTTTGATATTGTTATACGCTTTATTTAGTTTGGACCAATTCTCGTGTACTATAGAATAAACTTTAACATAGAACAAATACTATAATAGTTAGAAAGCACAACCAAAAAAGAAAAAAAACACTTTTGTTGTTCAGTCTAATATACTTAATTAAAGTTTTTTTTCTCCATAAATGTACTTCATCATTATCTTGCCCCCAATAAATTATATTCCTGGATCCGCCACTGCCCTTAGCTCATAAGAGTAGATAAATCACCTTTAGGATGACCAATTGACCATAGCTTGAATATATATCTATTACACCAAATAACTATATTCGTCTACATATCCAAGGATAACGACAATCCCCCGTATCCCAATTTGATTCTCATATTTGAGTACATTCTACAATTTTGTTTCAGTTTATCTCCAAGCTTTGCATTTTAGTCCATATTTGCTAGCTTTCACTCTTCTTGCAGTGTTTAAATTGATTACCAAACAACAACTTTCATTTTCAAGTCTTGAGGGACCAAAAGCCGGAGCACTGCCCCCTCGGTAGGACAAGCATTTCTACAAAGTATGGCATGTGGGATGGGGCAAAAATAATTTCTATGGTATTGCTTATGAGACGGGGGCACATACCCCAGCTTATACTACACCCCTCTCCCCTGAGTTGATCCTAACGAGAGTTCAAGAGAATCGACACTTTTTTCAAATCACGAGAGATAATGAGCTCAATTCCTATGTCACAACGAGTTTGATGCATTAAACCCTAATATAACTAACCAAATACTCAATTACGTATAGGACATTGTGATTATTAAAAGTGAAAATATCACTGTACAATTTACCTGAAGTTATAAAATGATGGTTTACATTAAATTGTAGGCTTGTATTGTAGCCTCATAAGGTGAGAAAAATACTAAATCAAAAGCAACTTTCAAGAAAAAAAAATCCCTCATCTAGTACACACCTTATGCTCAGATGACATGTATGTCCCCAGGATTGGGACTACCGTCTTCTTCCGCTAGCTTAGCCTTAGACTTGGGTGGGACCCGTGACATGGAGGAGAAACTGGACCCAGAAGACACCGCTCTAGACTTCTTTCGTTTCTGTTTCCTCGTTTGGGTGGCCCCACTGATCTCTCTTGTAGCTGTTGAATCATCTTTGCAAAATTCTGGTGACGATGGTTTACGACCACTGTTACTGATTGAGGATGAAGTAAAGTCCGGTCCGGCCTTGAACTCTTTCATCTTCAGTTCCATATTAACAAAGAACAATTATATTTTGTAATGAATATTAGAAACTAAGAGATCAGGTTAATGTTTTACCCCGTACAATATTTGATATTATATTGAATGTGCTATGTTTTTATTTTGGAATAGTACAACTATCACAAATCATCAGTCATACTTTTTTATTAGGAACCTCTGGTAAGGGTAATTCGAGTGACATGGCTGGCTGAAATTTCTGAATGGAAAGTGCTTGTAAAATCTTGTTGAGCCAAATAAGTAATCCTTTCTACTTTTTCTGATTATGTTTTGCTCATTCTAATGACAAGCATCTACTATTTCCCCTTGGAACAACTTTTTATTAGATGTGGCTGCTATTTTAAGCAAGTTTTTGACAAACTACATACAGTTTAGCTCTGTGAGATAAAAATTGACTCTTAAGAAATGATGTTTAAACATTTTTCAATGGAAGGACTAATTTTGAGAAACTATATAGAGTTTAGCCCTGTTCGATAAAAATAGACTCAGTTTTGAGGACAAAAAATGTTTAAACATGTCTCAATGGAAAGGGTAATAGATTAGGATAGTCAAATTTTGTAATTTTATTTAACAAAACATTAAATTATGAAAGATTGATAAATACATACCCAAGTAGGTGCACTGCCTGCAGATTGGCCATCCCACCCGATGTGTGCTACATGCTTAACATCCGTTGGGTAACCGATCTCAATATCTTCCTCCTTCATCACTATAAACATTTTTCCTCTTTTTTATTGGCTTGTCAAAATTAAACAATGATTACACGAAAAAATAAACTTATTTGATGAGCAGAAAGGCTATACCAAAAATATTTGAAATGTATTTGAATCCCGCTTTGAAAGTCCCCTTCATCATGGCATCCATGAAAGAGACTCAAAAGAAATAAGCCCAAAATAGCAGCCTTCTGATCGTAGGAGAGTGTTGCAATAAGCACTAAGTTCAAGTTGTTCCTCTTCCTGCCAATAACAATTTCACAAAACTTTAATCATCAATCTTTTTTCTTGTAATTTTCCCATGTATTAAAACAATTGACTAGACATGCTAATATATACATTAAAATGCATGTTCATTGATAGGCATCTTAAACATAAGAAAGACTACTCTTACATAATGAAGACAATTTTAAATAAACACTCCCGCATGATTCATAAAAGAGAAAATCCATTTTTACATGCTAATTGCAGTGGTGAAATTATTATAACCCAAGAATCATAATATTTCGGTATCAGGTTTTTAGATTTTTAAAAATAATATTCTTGTCTCTTTTGGGTAATCAAAAACCATAGATCATTTGATAAGAACCCAATGGCAGAGACAAACTGATTACTGCAAACAGAAAAAAGAAAAATGAATTGATTGATCCATCATGCAAAACGAAACAAAAACAAAACAAATAATTACCTTGTCAAAGATGAGTTAATGGAAGTATGGTAGAACAAGAAAGGAGATGAAAAACAGAAGGTTTCTCCATTCTTGTCCTCACATCAACATTCTTTATAATCTTCCTTCAAGTATTGTAAAATAATATTTTTTTTAAAAGCATTCATGCAGAATAACCAAAATGGTTAATTACGCCAAGAATAAAAATGTTGAATTAAAATCCGAATCGATGGTTCCATGAGTGAAAATACAAATTGGCAGATAAAAGGAGAAAAATAAGTATCAAAAAACAATTAAAATATTATAAAGACGGTTCTTTGCTTAAAGAGGATTAACATCAATAGTGTTTTAAGTTTTTCCTGATTCTTTTTTTTTTTTTGTTTTGAAATGAGAGATAGTATTGAGGAAAGAGAATGATAAAAAAAGAATCAGACAAATGTGGGGTAAAAAATAAAGTCTAGAAGATGATGGACAGCCACAAAACCCAATCATAAGAAAGATTTAGATTCTTTAAGAAAAAATAGTTTTTTTATGGGGGGCGGGGTCACAATCAAATAAGGAATCAGGAGCATAACATCCAAATGGAACACATACAATATGTATTACTTTATTAGAAGTTCTCTTTAAGTTAATTAATACGGAGTATATAGTATACATATCAATCGTTCTCATAAGTCACACCCTCCTTGTAATGGGCCAAATCTTGTTCAGCTATTAGCCCCCTAACAGTGGTTAGTGGATCGTCTTAGCGTGTTGGACAAACGGGTTGGTTTAACAGCTCTATGTTTCTTTTTTTCCATATAATACTAGCAAAAAGATCAAAAACAACAGAAATTGTTAAAATAATGGTTGGATAAATGTTCAGATTATATCCGTCATAAATGAATCGAGCTAAAATCCCATAGTTGTATATAGACAATATAATAATTTAGAGTACAAATTTATACCCCATCTGTCACATTTGTTTGTCCTACCTTTTTAAAGTTTCTCTCAAACCATAATTGCATATAATTATGTGGATTATAATCATTCATGCTATATAAGTTCATTATCAATTCTCAACAACATAATACCAGTATACCACTTTATCTTAATTTCTGTGTCACTTTCTCTTGTAAAACATTGTGGGGCATAAGAAGTATAACTGCATAGTGGTGAAGGGTAAACATAATAATCAAGAAGAATTCTGAATGATGTGTATTATACTCTGCATTATTCAATTTGAAGATATTTTCTTTAAGCTGCGAACATAATTATAGGTAAAGTATGTGCACGCACGAGTGTATCTGTATATGTTATGGGGAAGTGGTGAACATAAATATTACCACCTTGTCGGTATCACTAATCAACTATTTAATGTCTACATAACTTTTTACACTGATTGGCCATTGTGTAAAGATTTTGTTTAAAAACTTTGAGACTTTGTACACACCTATTATAATCGAAAAATGATTAATCCAAAACAGCATTTCCTAAAATCCTGAATGATCTATTTGAGTTTTTGTCGGAGGAAAATTAGAATCTGATTGCTATAAAATTAAAGCAATAGTTCTTACCTTTCCAAGTCATGTCTTCAGATACTAAGCAAGTCACTTGAATCCAGAGATCAACTGCTTATATTTCTTTCTATCAGGTTTGAGCCCCATCTTCAACATTTCATCATGCAAGCTCATGGCTTTTCTGAAATTCTTTTCAAGACAAAGGCCTCTAATGATGATTGAAAAACTCTCACTGCTTAGCACATTATGCGCTCTCATGTAATCAAATATCCTGATCGCTTCATCAATTCCTTTTTCTCTAAACAGGCCATTAAGCAGTATAACGTATGTGGACACATCAAAATTACCACCAAGTCCCTCAACCTTGGCATGCAAAGAAATAGCAGAATGAATCCGCCTACTAAAACAATAATGCTTCACCAACAAGGTAAAACAGAAAGATTTTGGCAAAATACCTTTATCTAGAGTTACATTTAAAAGCTCCTCGGCTTCTTTCCACCAACGGTTCTCACATTGAGAATTTATATACTTAGAGATTTTATCCAAACAAGGAGTTAATGGCAGTGTTAATCCCTTTTCTATCAAGCCTTTCAACAGTCTATTAACATCCTCTGAAGGTTTCTCTTCACATAACACACTCAGAAACGGGAAAAGATATTTATCATTATCAATAATATCAAAATTCTTCGCCACCATATAATTATAAAACTCAATAGCATCCTTTACTCGTCTTGCATTTGACAATGATCTTAGCATCGAGCAATAAGTTGTTCCTTTAAGGTCAACCATTTCATTTTTGGCTCTCCGGTAAAAAAGTTCTGCAGCAAATGTCTTCTCCAAATGACAAAACTTCTGGATTACTGAATCATATTCATTAGGTAAAAGATTTGGAAGATATCCCTTACCCACCATAGAAGTAATGACATCATTAATCACTTGAACGTCATGATATTCACAAGCCCCGTCTAGAATAAAGCTGAAAGTACTAAAGCTGGGATCAAATCCTTTATTATGCATTTCATCTACATTTAAAAGAGCAGATCTAAAATCCCCTCTTTTACTATAACCCTCGATAATAAGATCATACATTGCGGGGCTATATATACCCATATCCAGAATTTTATTGATCCTTTCAAATTTGCCATCTTTAGATAGAGCTTGAGCAATCAAAGACCAAGTAAACAAATTTCCAGAAACCCCGTCTCGAATCATCACACAGTAGAAGCACCATAGCAATTTGATTTCGTTTTTCTCTAGAAACCCCCTTAGCAATGAATTGCAACTATGAACTGAAACTAAACCGCCACAACCTTTTGACTTCTGATAAACTTCCAGAGCTTGAGTAAGCAAACGGCTATTGGAATAACACTCAAGCAACGAGCTCAAAAGAGAAGAGCGAGTATCAAAGTCGATGCCTTTAATCAATGAACTGACAATCAGGGTTGCAGGATAAGCTTGAACCAGAGAATCCAATATGGGTTTTGATTGTGTTGATAGTCTGGAAGCGTACAAAACCCCAGCAAGTTTACAAAGGCTTTTGAGGTCTGGATTAAACCCTAGATTTTTATTGGCATAATTGAAGAAGCAGAGAGAAGCAGCGGGATAAGATTGGGTCTTGCGGAAGATCTGAAGGAAGAGATGAGGGGTGAAATTGGAAGAGTTGAGGTTGAAGGGCTTGAGAAGTGACGCCCAGTGGGTTCTGTTCCTCTGCGTGACAATGGCGGCGATTTGGTTGACCAATTGGGCATGTTTGACTTGTGCTCTCCAATCTGGTTTGAGAGGCTTAATGGGAGGTGTTGAGAATGGAAAGTTGCTATGGTGGAGATGGTGAGGTTTCTGACGGAGCAACGTCTCGGCTAGCTGCAGCCTGCAGGGAAGCATGGGTAAAGTTCCACTTTTGGAAGGAGAAGACAGTGCATTATATTCTTTCTCAGTGTAGCTTCTCAAGTAACCAGTCAATAATTGTTTGCGAAATTAAGAAGATGCAAGTGGTATATATACACTTATTAGTTGTAAACTTGTAAACAACATTTATTTGAGTGCATAGAAACAACTGTATTCTGTGCAAAATTAATCTATCTGAAAATAGACAAACCGTAAACACAAATCACTATTTCGTGAACAAACATTGATTTATGCAGTCCACATCCATTGATATACGTGTTTACTTGTGTACTTTAGCATGAAAACTAGCATCTTGACGAGGCTTCTACATGTTTTGCTTCTACAGCTTTACGAAAGAGTAACTAAACTATTAACTATACATGCCATTGTGTGTAAAATTGCAAAGTTTTTTCAAAAGTGGTGGGGAATTATCCCTATCGTGTGTAAAATTGATATGTACACAGCCCTATTTGTACATGAAAAACGATTCATTTAGTGAAAGAGTTTTACTAGTAGTGTTACCACGGTCTCATGTATTACTTTGAGCGTGTCCAATGTCATGTTTTTTTGAATATTTTTTTAAAACTATCATGGTATATATTCTTGTTAATGTCAACTTTTTTATTGTGTAAAATTAAAATAAGGCATATACAATAGAATATGCATGAAGTATATATTGTGTATGTCCTCCTCAAAGCTACTCTCTCCGTCCCGCTAAGATTGTCTCATTTTACTTTTTCGGGAAGTCCCACTAAGATTTTCTCATACCAAATTTGATAAAGAATGTGTGGCTCTAAATCATTCTTATTTTATTCTTACTTTATCAATTTAATATCAACCACACAAACTCATTTTTCTTAATAATCGTGTCACTTTCTCTAGTCCCAATCGTAGTGGGACGTAGTAGTTTTAAAATGTGTATTTGGAATAGTACAATTGTCTTTTAGAAAAGAAAGAAAAAGTGAATGAATAAGTTGTAGCATGTGAACAATTTAGTTGTGGAGAAGGATCGGGATTTTCTCTATCTTTCAAATGGATGAATGCAAGCTACTACCTCTGTCCCCTTTTAAATGTCTCGTTTTATCATATTGGAATGTTCCTATTTAAATGTCTCATATCTTATTTGGTAAAGTTTGTGTGGTTCAAAATCATTCTTGTTTTATTCTTACTTTATCAATTAATATCAACCACACAAACTCAATTTTCTTAAAACTCGTGTCACTCTCTTCCGTCCCAATAAAAAAGGGACGGAGGTAGTATTTATCATGTCATCATAGTAGCTTGTGAAGAAGCCGGTCAATAATTGTTTGTGAAGAAGTATATCTAAAAAATCTAAATTGTGTACATAGATACTTTGGATGTTTTAATTTGATGGTCTGGTCTGATCTGGTCTGCTCTGGTTTCTTTGTATTTTTATAACTATCCAAGTCGGGTCTAGTCTGGTCTGATCTGGTTTGGTCTGATCTGGGACAAATTACAGTCCAAGTAAAAATATTCTTATTGATCGTGAACAACATTTATTTGAGCGCATATAAATAATTATTGTCTATGTAAAACTAATCACTCTGAAAATACGCAAATTATTAACGTGAGCCACAAACATTGATAGATGTGTTTACTTGTGTACTTTAGCATGAAAACTAGCATATTGAATATCTAACAATTGTCTAAAACAAAGATTGATTATTTGTATCAAGATATTATTTGTTCGTAAAATCACACTTATATATCAAACATAAGTGAAAGAGAATATCAACTACCTACCCTTACAAATGAATAGATGTGAACTCCAAGGTTTATTAACGCACTTACCGATTAGCTTGATGAAATTGTGTCAACAATCAAAGAATAAATTAAACATTAATAAATGATGAAATAATAACTTGAACTAATCAAAAGAATGATAGGTGCGATATTGATGTGAGTTTTCTCGCACTTAAAATAGATTGTAATATAGTGGTGTAAGTACGAGTATCGTCTCCACAGGGATGGACAAAAGGGAATCAAGAATTAATTAAATTCAGCGATTAAAAAGAAAGAAATAAAAATGTGTCGTGCGAGATTGGTTGCTGGAAAATAAAAATGCGAATAAAACGATTAAACTAGGGGGTTCTTTCTAATTAATGATGAAGGGAACAAGGATTGATTCTGGGGTGACCAGATTTCTGGCTGATCATGCCTAAGTACATGAAATTAATTTAATTGAGCCTAGCTAATCATTACTAAGTTTTACCGCTCTCACGGCGTAGAGTACAATAATTTATGGGACCAGGCTGATCTCTCATGCGACAGGATCCTAAATTATTGTCAAGACGAGCGAGCGTACGGCCCCTTAATCGCTACTAATCTCTTAGTGAACGATTAAGTGTGTGTGAATGTGTCCTAGAATAAACTAGATCTCTCTTAATTTATTCTACAAGCAATTGTAATCCTAGCGGCCGTTCTAGGTTACAAGAGATATCAGTTAAATTATTCAAACACAAATTAAACGACATTCATGCAATTAAACCGAAATGAATCTAGCCATACATCATGATCAACCCCTTCATCAACCCCAAATCCCTAATTAAAACTACTCACAATTCATAATTGAGAATCAATAAAATTGGAATAAAAAGAATTAATTGTCATTAATTAAAAAGGTGGAACTTACAAAGAATCCCAAAAGATTGATGAACAAGGCTGAAAAGTCCTCTAAAATTCGTGTTAGGCACTCTCTCTAAGCTCCCCCCTTCAAAACGGGGGTTTACAGGCTGTTTAAATAGAAAAATCGGGTGAAATTTGAGCTGAATTGGGATTTCCAAGGGCAGGCACGAGCGTGCCTTCGATCGTGCCTCCGGAGCAAAAACGCCCATTTTGGGCAGGCACGATCGTGTCTCCCTCCAGGCACGATCATGACTGGCTGGCAGTAACTCCGCAATGCTTTCTATTCACGCACGATCGTGCCTGATTTTGAGGGCACGATCGTGCCTACTTAACTTCCGAATTTGGCAATTCTTTCTTCATTAATGAAGTCCAATCAAGAGATTTGAATCATCCAATCAAGAGATATGATCAAAACGGTGGAATGTGTCATTCTGAAATCGCAGCAGAGATCATCTGACTTCATCGTCTGTTTTCACCTTCTTCCTCTCAGATTATTGCAAAGGTGTCTTCATATGATTTGTAGCCCTTGAAGTTAGCTTTCATATGGAATTTGAGTCGTGTTCATTGGTGGTTTCTACAAAGAGATATGCTTGAACGATTGACAGAAGGTCATCCTGATTGTCGTTTTCAAGCACTATTCGTCTTCTTTTGATCCCGAAGCCAATTCTAGAGCTCTTTTGTCATCAAATCTTCATCGTAAACCTCCCGCTGACCTCCAAAGCTCTTAAATCAACCTTAAATGCTTCTCAAATAATCCCGATTACTTCTCAAGCGTCAGTGCCGAACTCAAAAATCCCGATTTTGACTCCAAATGCAACAAAACTCGAACCAACGCCTGGTAACCATAACTTGAGCTAAAATTGAGACTTGCAACACATTAAAGCTAGGAAAACCATCAAAATCCAATTCCAACACGCATCAAATGCATGTCTAAATACGGACTTATCAGATATCCTCGTATTTTTGTGCGTAATATTGTAAGGAATTTGGACCGGCTCAGACTTCAATCACCAAAAGCTCCCAAGGGCTAGCTCACATCCACCACCAAGGTTACAATCAGCGAAGACGAAGGGCAACAGTCAACTACACTCTCTGTAGTGCCCAACCCCAGACCCAACCCAGAAGACCCACCGGAAAATGATGTGAGTTTTGTCGCACTTAAAAATGATGTAGTAAAGTGGTTGAAAGTACGAGTATTGTCTCCACATGGACGGACAAAAGGTAATTAAATATTAACTAAATTCAGCGATTAAAAAGAAATAAATAAAATAAATGCGATGTGCGAGATTGGTTGATTTGAAATTAAACTAATGCGAATGAGCAATTAAAATAAAAGATTGGTAATCAGATTTCTGGCAGATCAGGCTTAATTACATGAATTTAATTTAATTGAGCCTAGCTAATCATTACTAAGTTTTTACCGCTCTCGCGGCGTAGAGTACAATAATTTAGGGGACCAGGCTGATCTCTCATGTGACAGGATCCTAAATTATTGCAAAGACGAGCGAGCTTACGGCCCCTTAATCGCTACTAATCCCTTAGCGAACGATTAAGTGTGTGTGTGAATGTGTCCTAGAATAAACTAGATCTCTCTTAATTTATTCTATAAGCAATTGTAATTCTAGCCGCGGTTCCAGGTTACAAAAGATATCAGTTAAATTATTCAAACACAAATTAAACGGCATTCATGCAATTAATCCATCAAGAATCTAGCCATCAATCATGATTAACCCCTTCATCAACCCCAAATCCCTAATTAAACTACTCACAATTCATAATTGAAGAATCAACAGAATTGGGATGAATAGAATTAATTGTCATTAATTAAAAAGATGAACTCACAAATAATCCCAGGGTCTTGGAGTAAAATAGCGAAAAACAATGAATAAATTCGTCTCTAGGCCTCTCCATAATGTTCGTCACCCTTAAACTGGAGAATAAAAAACAAATGAGTTTAGGCTGAACTGGGACAAAAACGGGGTAATCTGGGCGAAAATAGGATTTTCCGGAGTCAGGCACGGCGTGTCTAGGGGACAGGCACGACCGTGCCTGACCTCTAGAGGCTGGGTACCCGTTTCTTCTACAGGCATGGCGTGCCTGACTGCTAGGCACAACCGTGTCAGGCTCGTTTCTTCCCCAGGGCTTCCATGCATTCTTCAAGCGCTCGTCGCACATGCTTCTTTTCCGAATTTGACAAAACGTCCTTCATGATAGTTGTAGATAATGAAGTCCTGTATCCACCACAACTTTCCGAATTGGATTTGAATCATTCAATCAAGAGATATGAATAAAATGGTGGAAGGTGGCATTCTGAAATCGCAATAGAGATCATCTGACTTTATCGTCTGTTTTCACATTACTCCTCTCCGATTCTCTTCATGATGTCTTCATATGATTTGTAGCTCTTGAAGTGAGCTTTCATATGGATCTTGAATAGTGTCCTTTAGA